CATATTAAGAGGACTGTGTCCGCGTTTTCAAGTAAGAATATACCGAAATGGAAATTGTTCGGTAAGAATTGAGCCGAAGCACTCGTCTCAAACCAGGTCTCAAATGACACCGGATCGCATCTTAACTGATTAGGACAACTTGAAAATCGCTCGCGGTTGCATATCCATGTGGGCGAATATCCCACAGAGAAGCTAAATGGAGGGAAAAACAAAAAGCCATAAACTCTTAATTTACTTGCAGCATGATCGGTGAGAGGAGAAACTTTCTTCTCTAGCCATAAGAAGCGCGCATTTGAGGTCATTTGTTATTCGATACAAACTCTGTTGTTAATTAAGTAAGACGAGCCTTCTCTTTATCGATCAACGCATAATTATTTTCACGACTCTGTGTATTTAATCTCATCAGACCGGAAGAACGCCCCAAAAACATGTTTTCCCTGTTTCTCGAAACTAAAATTTCAGCGAATGAAGCGCACGTTTCAAGTTCGTTTGCAACGAATTGCAACCTTTTTCGCTGCAATTTGGAGAGAATGTTCTACCAATAGTCTGACAAAAAAAACTGTGTCGGGGGAATTTTAATTTTTCCCTCCTTCGAAAGTTATGAGTATTTTCGTACAGAGAATGCATGTTTTGTCAACCCTCGAAGTTTAACTGTACGTTAAAAGCTAACCAGACAAGTAATCAAAATTCCCGACACAGTTTTTTAGAGAAAGGTGTCAAGAACACGTAGCGATGTTTTCGCTTCTCCCGTTCAATACCGCCGGAAACGAACTCGATTTGTGCACCAATATACTTTTTTGAAATTGAGTGCTATATTCGAAACACATTAATATTTTTACTTCAAATGAATACATATTCGTAATCTACAATTCTTAAGGCTTTCAGGAAATATATACTTTATTGGGGGTTTTGTTAAACCTCCGACCATAAAACAGCGCCAACGCATGATGGTCATTTGGGTATACTGATACCTTAAATTGGTCACACTTTTGGGCTCCTTGCTGTAACATTTTGCATGCAGCAAAACTGTATGCAAAAGAAACCATTATAATAAAAGCTTTATTGAATAAGCTTGTTTGGTGCATATGGGAAATATTGATCTTTTTTTGCAAGTTAATGGAAACTTGCCTTCGGCTTGGTCAACAAGTAACTTCAACAAATATTTCCCCATTACAGCTTTATTAAAGTTTACTAAATACGCTAGTTTAATAACATCTAAATTACTGTGTGTGTAGTATTCGTATGAGTCATGGAAAACCTCAGTGCAAACTATGAAAGCCATGAAATGTCAGTGTTTTAAAATCAAGGCTGAAAAATCCAGACAAACCAGGATCAGTCTGAGGAAAATTACTGTAAAATGAGATCCTTGCATGGTATGAACAAGGCCTTACTATGTGCAGGGTTTGTATGGCTCCTTGAAATCGTGGAAAGTCCTGGAATTTTGCTCTGACATTTTCCAGGACTGAGTACAACCCTGTATGTGCCATGTGGCACAGAGAGGATAGGTGAAGCATGGCATGAACAAAATAAACTTGTCAATTCCACAGCAAACAGCTTTGTACAAACCCTGTGTTTATTCTTGCATTGGTTTTCACTTTTCATCGTTTTCCGTTTGCTTCATTAGGCTGTGGCAAACATGCTGAAGCGGTGATGAAGGATGTTCCCGAGGACCAGAAGTGCATCTGTCCTCGAGACAGTTCTGGTAATTGAATCAGCAGTAAATTATGAACACCTGTTATATTTCAAGGTGAGACACTGATATTACATTCATTAGCCTGCATGGATCAGTGCTCAAACTAACCAGGAGTTTCTTCAGTGTAATTTGTATACTATTAGCTTTGGTTATCATTTGACTGTTAGTCGGCATTACAAAATTGTCTTGTGTATGGGTACAGTGTACAGGATGGCAGTGTTCTCAGTTGAACCTGTAACCTGTAATTGGTCAGTAACACCTGCGAGGGGTGTCACTAGTATAAGTGTTACGGCTGTGCAATGAGTGCTGTAACAAAGTAAGAAGGCCTGCTGGCTTGTTACACCTACATACTGAAGTGCAATGGCTGACTGGTATAGATAGAGTCAATGCAACTAAGACTAGCTCCAAAAAACGTTTGCTTAATCAATGCACCTTGCACTTAAGGACGTCCGCACCCAATTCTTCCCATGTTCAGATTTTTTTTAAACTTTTGCTGCAGTTAGATAATGACCAACTCATGTCAGAAAGGCAAAAAAAATTGGGGGGTCACCGTACTCGTTTCGGAGATAAAGCGTATTGAAGACCGTGGTGTTCCTAGAAGCTTTGGTCATGTGAAGTGATATCGGCTTCAATGCTATCAGCAAAAAAAAGTAAAATGGAGAACTCTAGATAAGATCGATGTGTTGATTTCAACGCAAATAGGCCTATTGAGTAATTTTTGCAGCTGATGTCATTCCTTTAGATAAAATTAGCCTCACAGAAGGATACTTGTAACAGTGTTCCCACTAGTTTTGGAAAACAGGAGTCCAAGGACCCCAGTTCCAGTAATGGGGGTCCTTTCTATTTTTTAAGGGTCCCCTAAGGAGAAAGGCATTTAAGTGATATACACATCATGTAATATTACATGAAGTATTGACCGCTGACCATCAATGAGCCGAGAAGTTGTTCGACTCGTTCGCGTGATTATCATTGTGATTCTTGCTTCGTTTTCGAGTTTGCAGCCAAATTTTCATAGTTTCCAGCTTGGAGAGGTAATGAAAAGGTAAAGGAAACTAGTGAAACTTTAACATTGTTTCTTATGTGTGTTTTGTATCTTGAAAAATCTTATTTATCTCAAGAGTAGACCAAACTATGAAAACACTAGAAATTTTGAGCGCTGATTTATGTGCGTCCCTGGGACGTACTGTGGCTAAAAACTGTGCGTCCTTTTTATTTTTTGTGCGTCAGATACGCACAGTTGTGCGTTAATGGGAACACTGCTTGTAAGATATGCACACCCGCATTCATAGAACAATTTGTTAGTAAATGAGTAGAAAAAGCGAAATAATCACAAACTTCTCACGTTCAGAATTTGTTTGTTTTTTGTTAAAATGGAGAGAATCAGTAAAGGAAGTGATCTACATTGTATGAAAAGAAAAGCAGGGGTCACCGTGCATCCCAAGAGAGTAAAATCCTCGCCAAGTTATTGAAGCGGCCTCCAGCTCTATATTTGTCCAGTTCCATTCTCAGCGCGCGCGCGCTGAATGCATGACGTGGCGTGCGTGTGCGGCATGAATAGCGTACACAGGACAGTATGCACACTAGCAATGGGCTCGAACTTCCTTAATACACCGCAGTTTACAAGCCTTTTTTTGTTCAATTTGCCACTGCTCAGGAACATTTTAAAGTCACATTAAACTGTTAGCTATTTCTGAAAGTTACATGTATAGGATTCACAGCAAACCTCTTAATAGATAAATAACACCTGCAATACTCAAGGCTTGGAATATCACTTCCAAATCCTGCACTTACATTATTTAATTTAGGTGTGTCAAAGTGATACTTTTCTCATTCACAAGAAGTAGAACTGACAATTATTCCATTGCTTTCAATATCTTTAGAGCTAGAAGCTGTTGAAAATAACCAAGTAGGTGCAACTTTCTCAGCAATTTTTCATTTAAGCAGTTGACCAGACGTCAGCACACAGGTGACTACATATACATTTGTACTTGTAATGAGTTCCTGTAGCTGCAGGCCAGAGGTCTAACATAAGTCAACTTCATAAATATAATAATAATAATAAGTCAGCTTCCTATTGGTGGTTTGCATCAATGTTTCAAAAACTGTTTGCTTGCTTCAAACAACATCAGAAAATTAACAGCTTATAGAGCAGGCAGAAAGAAACGTTCTGTCCAAATTATAGCTTTGTAGCGTTTTTCATAACCGAGTTATTACGAAAATAATTTTTCAGAAAATTACAGTATTTAGTATGCAGCCGCCATGTTGGTGCCCTTCTTTGGGACACCAAAGAAGTAGAGTAGATTCTACCATCAATATCATTATAGCTTTCATTCAAAACTCTTTAGATATCACTTCTAAATTATTATCACGTATGAAAATTTAAAAATGACAAAAAAATACCCGTTTTTGTGACAGTTCAAAAACACATTCATCCGGGACATCGCAAATTTCAAATTGCTTTATTTTCGAAACGAAGCACTGAATCGATACAAACTTTGCATAGAGGTTAATGTCTTGTATGTCTTGAATACGTGAAAGAATAGCTTTGTAGAATTAACAGTTTAGATTTTAGAATTTTGATGACATCAGGTGCAAACCAAGAATTGAAATCACAGACTGCTTTTGGCTTTTGTATGAAACAATTTTTGTGCTGATTTTGAAATCAGCAATCTATAAACTAGCACATCACCTCATCTAAATCTCAGTCAGGTTAAAATTGATCAAGCCCATTAATCAGTCAGAAAAAAGAAGAAATGGCAATCTTGTCATGCATTAAACTCACAGTAGAGCAGGCAGACAGGCAGGCAGGCTGCGAAATGAAACATCCGATATATGGTCATGCAGCAAGGTGGCTTTTTAGTCAGGTCAGTGATGTAAATCTTTAATACCAATTTTATAGCTGTAATGTATTAAGTAATTCAATTAGAGATTATGTCTTAATGTTCAAAAGAGTTTCAATCCTTTAATCATCTTGTTGATTAAAGTACTACATTGTATATTTTCAAAATGGAGTTATTCTTTTTAAGGTAATAAGCCAGAAAAAATATGACAGGAACTTGTTTGTCTTAGAATTGGTACCTCTTAGGGTGAAATGAATTCAAGCCACACCCACCAACTGAGATATTTCTTGTACCTTTTAGGGGTTCCTTTCAAAATTTCTGACAATCACCCCTGTCAGTTTTATATGGGAGTTCCCCCCCCCCCCCACCCCCCCCACCCCCCCCCCCCCCCCCCCCCCCCCCCCCCCCCCCCCCCCCCCCCCCCCCCCCCCCCCCCCCCCATTAATTTTGTATGTGAATTAATGTCAGTTATGGTGGGCTAATGGTTAGTGTGTTGGACTGTGGATGAAGTGGTCCAAGTTCAAGCCCTGGCCAGGACACTGCTGGGGAAACCACATGTAGCATGACATCCAAGGCCCGGTTGTTCGAAAGCCGATTAACACTAATCCAGGATTGAAAGTTAATCAAGCTTTTTCTTGTATAAAAGTGTTTTTCTTTGCTAATGTTTTGTAAAGTTTACGATTAGTCAAAGTCAAAACAGATAGATGAAAAAATGTAAACAGAAACAACCCGGCCCAGGGGGTAACAAATCCTAGTCGCTTCATTGTACAAAAAAGGTTAACTGGCATGGTAAGCTGACAGATGTAACCTTTTTTACAGTGGCCTAATGGTTAGTGTGTCTTGTTTGAGATCCACATGTCCTGAGTTTGGGCAAGACACTTTATACACCACCTTACATGCTGTATACATGGGTATTGTCAGACTGGGAGAGGAGGGGGATAAAAGCATCCCATTCAGTGGAGTAGCAATACAATACAGTCGTTTGAGGACTCAGAGTTATAGTATCAGCTGTAATGTTTAAGTCTGTTTATTCAGTAAGTCATATATGAGTATGTTTACTTACTTATTTTCCTTCTCATTTGTTGCAGATGGATCCTTTTGTAGTGTGTTTATAGACATTCATGCATGCACCAAGAGATGGACTTAAAGGGACACTGTCCTGATTTTAGCATGATTTTGGGAAGCTCAGAAAACATTATCTAGATCATAGGAAGTTGAACAATAATGGTTTAATTCTGTAGAATAACACTCGACAAATGACAAGAACCCATTAGGAAGTGAGGATGACAAACGACAGCGAGGATGGAAATGGATTGCAATATGGATTTTTGAAAAAACGTCAGGATGTCAGTTTTTCAAAGTTTCAAATTTGGCTCGGAAATCTTTGAAATTTTGCAAACATTTTGTTGCAGTATGGAATTTCTTGAAGAAATTGCTTTTTATCATTTAGGTAGAGTTTACTAAGTTCTTATTTGATAGATTTAGGGACCATTTCGTGCATTTATAACAGTTTTGAGCAAATACGCCGGGACAGTGTCCTTTAATATTTAATTGATATGACAATCAACCCTCAATCTCCTGTACAGTCATATACACAGACTGTACGATAAGCTGGTTATTTATTTGTGTGATGGTATTCTATATAAATAATGAATTACACTTTTTTTAATGAGAGCAACAAAAATGAAAATTATGTTATTATGGTGTCTGAATCAGTCCAGATCACAATCAGAATTGTAGTGTTTATGGAGGAAGGAAGAAAAACCCTTGTGGCTGGAAGGACATATTTTAGCCATTTATTCAACCCATGACTGTTGATTAGCATGCATTGTGTACAAGAAATGTTGTTTATCTTATTTATTACTTTAAATTAATACAACATGCCAGAAAATGTTCAGATCACCTGCACAGTGTTGTGAGTGTATATTAATTATATGCACAAAAGATGAAATAAAGACAATGAAATGATCCAGTGTTTGATTTGTTTATGTGAAAAACAAGTCCTTGTGACTCAGTACACGCATGTCGTGTAGCCTGGGTGATTATATACATCATTGTCCATAATTTTACCACAGTGACTTTAAAGTACCATGTTTGAATGTATACATAAAGGGTAATCAGGTTACAATCTTCCAACACATGCATCACACCAGCTAGAATTACAGCTGGAATTACCATAAATCATTTCAAATTTCTACCAAAAGCTCCATTCGCCCACGTTTTACACATACATGACAAGTGGACATTTAATACAAGCAGCATTTTAGTTTTGATTACCCAGCATGCATCACCTTTATATACGCCAGGTTTCGTTGTCTTCCCTTGTAATTAGACACCTTCATATATTAAAGTAACCATGCAATTTTTTAGTTTAAAAAATTTATCATATTGTCTTCTTACTCCAGGTTAGTTTATACAAATCATTTCTGATGAGTTTGAAAAATTATTGACAAAGAAAACATTTTTGATTTGCGCTGATTTTGGCGAATTTTACTCGCTTGATTTGTTTTCACTTGGCTAATGTCAGTAAAACAAAAGGAAAAGTTAATGAGTTTTCATTACAAAGCTTGTCGTTAAAAACATCATTATATGTTTTTGTTCCATGCGTCAGTTCCATCTGTCCAATTGCCACCCCTTGCCCGACATTGACAGTAATTTTTGCTTTTAAAAATGGGAGGGATTTTTAATTCCTTTTTTCCCGTAAGTAAATATTAAATTGGCAGCCAGTGAGATCAAATTTCTATCTTTATTTTACACAAGAAAGTGTTTTTGGTTAAGTTATTAAAGTTGCATTCATTTTAGTTGAATTATATTTCCATTTCATAATTTTAGTATCTTTTGATTATATTTTCCATTTCGTTTGCTTCAAATTGTTGTAACAGATTAAAATGAATTTATCCGTCGTTTCGTGACGATAAGCCACCATTTTATTATCAGCCCTTTTGAGGGTCCTACTATTGACTGTAAATGTGATGCACACTATGTCAATAGCATAACGTGTCGTGTAGTTTCAGATTTTCAGCGGTGTACAGAATCAAGGTAAATATATTTTGTGTTTTACGAAATTTATCGTCAGAGTTGGCGTTTTATAAGTTGTTTCAATCAAACATGCAGGCAAAATAAAACGAATTGACCCCAGAAGGACAGGTAATCCCCGGCAAAAGCCCTTATTTGCAGTATCAACAACGGGATTTTCAAACGAACCTTTTTTTTTGTATTATATTTGATTCAGTAGCCCTCTAGGTTTTTATTTATTTCAATATTGAACGGACTAGCCTGCGTACTACAGACGTCTCCTATTTCCTTCCGACCAAATGAAATTGAATATAAAAATAAATAATATGAAAATATAAATGTCCGACTCCAGATGTTTTCAGTAGTGTTTCAATAAAATTAAACGCAATGGAGTATATTTTTCGACTTGCATGAATAAAATATTTTTTTGTTTTGTGTTGCCTGGTGGCGCGGTATACATGGTATACATATAAGAAGTTGCAATATATTCCTAAATTTATTTATTTGATATAGGTCTTCAATTATATATTTCATTGCGGAATACCAAGGTTGACAAAATGGTTTTGAAATTTTAGACAACTTGTTATTTAGTATATCTCCTGGCCGTCCTCTTCCTTCGAATTTATGTAAAAAAAGAGGTAACTCTTTTTTTTTTTTATACTAAAAACTAGTAGCGTAAAATAATTTATTTTGTACATTTTTCATTTATTTATCAGAAGTAATTGTTTGCCCAAGTTTTCGCCTCGAGAAATCGAAACTTTACTTTATCAAAAATACGTCTATTTGTTCACAGTATGAATATTCATTAGAAGCCCATAAACTTTACTGACTGGACTGCAAGTTATAAATATTCAAACTAAATTGGCGTTGAACACAAAAGACATCAAAAAACCATTTATATTTCAAATCAGTGAACATTTTAGTTGTTAATTCCCGGCTCGAACAGCTTTTAGCGTCTGACTGGGAATTTAATACGGAAAATTTTCGGTAAGGTTAAAGACTTTAAAATGAATATTTATAAAAATAAGGATTGTTTTTTATCGTTTATCATCGCCCAAGATCGTCTCGAGCTCAAATATATTGATAACAATAACACACTGACGCACAAAGAATTCTGATTAGGACGTTCGTTCACCTGTGTCGAATTTCATGCCTGTCAATCATTTTTAAGTACAGCGGAAAGAAATTTGAAATATGCCATTGAATTTTCATCAAAATATCACTCGCCGCGAATGGCGGTTGGATGTTTTTTCGTGTCTCATGCAAATTTCTGAGAGTTAAAGTCGAAAAACATCTGTTCAGCATAGCTACCCAAGCGAAACATTTTAAAACTATACCGTCGTGGGTTTAAACGCTCCTGAGCGCTTTTGACATGGACGTTTATTAACGGAAAAAACAGAAATTGCATTGACTTACGATGTCTGAGAAGGGGACGCTACTTCAGCTACTTCAACCCGATGAAGAAGGACCGAACTATGGGGATTTATTCAATCCCGAAGAAGAAGCCGTTGCACCTGATCCGTTGGCAAGCGAACAGCCACGAACGAAGCCAGCTTTGTTCGACAGGATTCGCTCGTCAGTTGCTATCAACCGAAACCTTCTTGTATACAAGGTATTTTATTTCTTTTATTTCGCAGCCCTTGGAAGCCTTATCCCATACCTATCGCTGTACTTTAAACATTCACTGCTACTGCCAGCTCATTTTGTTGGCGTTATACTAGCTGTGAAGCCACTCTGTCTGTTTGTTAGCGCGCCCATTCTTGGAACCATCGCAGACAAATACAACAAGGTCAGGTCTGTCCTGCTGGTCGCACTCTTCAGTTACATTGTCATGAATCTTCTTGTAGCCATTGTCCCGCCTGTAAGCGTGGATTGTCTGAGCGATATACACAACAAACTGAACATAACACATCAAAACGAATCTGCACTGTTTCACCGCTACCATCGGAAACATGGAGAAAAGGGAATGAGTGGGAATACAGAGATGTGGCAAGAAGCTTGGCTCTTCGACCTTTACGCCGAAATTGATCCAAAGATTTACAAAAATGCCAAAGTGGTTTTTGTGGTTATTTTGGTGATAACTATAACCGGTGAACTTATAGGCGCCACGTCCAACACTCTAGCGGACGTTTGCAACATTTCAAAACCTGGAAAATCGTCCACAGTTCTACGGAGAGCAGCGTTTATGGGGTGAAGTTGGCTGGGGGATAACTGCTTTCATCACGGGCTCTATAGTACAGCGACAGTACCGTAAACAGATCGATATTTGCCCTGAAGATGTATATGACATTTACCGACCATTCTTTTATGTTAATGCAATTCTTATGGCAGTTGCTCTTTTCGTCTCGACCCGCTTCGACTTCCAAGACGCAGACAAGTACATCAATGAGAAATGTGCTCTGGTTAAAGGCCTACAAATATTTACGAAAATCGAATACACGCTCTTCGGCACCATTGCTCTTTTCCTGGGAGTCGCATTGGGATCAGCGGAAACCTTTCTGTTCGTGCACTTGGTCGAGCTTGG